TCCTTGTTCATGCTGTTTGCTAAGTACTTGTTCCCTGTGACAGCTTTCAGCCAAACAGAACACACTGAATGCTGCATTCCAAACCACTCTGTCCTGCTGAGCTCCGAGTAAAACAAGCTCTTCAAACTCCATCATGTGAACTTTTCACAAGGAACAATCTCCCTCAGACAATTCCATTCAGAGATACTATCCGTGAAACTGGGACTGGGGGAAGAGGTGACATCACAGGCTTCCCCCTCTGGCCAGGGTCATGACCACCAAAGTTGGATTTAAGAGGCTCCCACGTGGTTTGGCACATGATTTCCTTAACCATCTAACATTTTCCCCAACTTTCCCATAAGCTTCTAATTTAAGATATTCACACTTAAACACAAAATTGGGTTCTGCTGTCAAGAAAGCCTGAGATTTCAATAAGTAAAGAATGAGCAAATTGCAGCTGGGGTCTCTATTAGGGATAGAAGGGTAGATGTATGAGATACTATATAACACATACCATATGTGAGGGTTTGGGGCAGTAGATTAGAAAACATTGAAATAAAAAGCATTCTATCCAACCAAGAGACTGGAAAAGTTGTGATTTTTTTTTTTTTTTTTATAACAAGGAAGGAAGAAAAAATGAGAAAAAGTTAAATGAGTTACATTTTTTTTTAAATATGTGAAGCCAAGGTTTGGAAAGAAGAGTTTTGAAAAATAAAAGAGGATTATTCCACTGAGATGGATAGCCAGCTTGTCTGCAGTTAAGCTACAATAGAAGGAGAGCAGCACACCCAGCTGCATTCCGAGGAATCTGGGGCTGTTTTCAGAAAGACCTGCCTGGCAGCTCCTGAAGAAGGTTTTGGACTCTCCTAAAAGCTTTTTAATATGAGAAGAGCAGCTCATGGATCCAAAATGGTTTCTATTCCAGTTCTCACCAGAGTTGGGGCATGTGGACTCGGTGACCTTCCAATTCTCCCTTTGGTCCAATGAGTCCGTGAACTCATCTCTCTCTGTAACATCCTCCTGCTCAACTTACTATTTTGAAAAAGAACAGTGCCCAAAGAAGGGGACATTTGGCTGCAATGTGCGTCCTAAGCCTTTGGAATTTTTTGTTTGTTTGTTTCATTCTTGACCTGCTAAAGAAGATGGAACTAAGAGAGAAGAGTGTGCTGTGCACACACATTCCCATTCTACAAGCAGCTCTGCCACTCCCACCTAGTAAATCTCCTGGCTCAGAATTGTTTCAACTTGGCAGTCCTTATTTCAATGAGTTCACAGAGCCCAACTGGTCAGATACTAGATTGCTAAAATGAGAATTTCATAGAAAAGTTATCACTACCATTGCCTACTGAATTACATCAGAGATCAGAAAGTACCAGAGCTGTGACGACTTTATCTAGCACAACTAACCTCCTTATTTCATATATCAAACAAAAAAGGGTCCAGGAAAGAAATCAACTTGTTTATCAGGAAAGTCAACTTGTTATCAGGAAAAGTCAAGGCTTAAACCAAGATCCTGTGTGCTTGCCCCAAATGCTTGAGACAATGCAATTGTGTCTACAAATGAGAATTGCTGATAACTTATTTGCTACCCTTCTTTACAGAAACATGTTTAATGTCACATAGAATAAAACTATTCCTCCAAGGTTTTGTTTTGAGCTTTCTTTACCCTACTACAATTCTATGACGAAGACAATGTTTTCATTAAAACATAAATGTGAGCCGGGTGCGGTGGCTCACGCCTGTAATCCCAGCACTTTGGGAGGCCGAGGCGGGTGGATCACGAGGTCAAGAGATCGAGACCATCCTGGT